GGCCCCTTCAGATCAACTACAAGAGATGCTAATCGATTCTATGTGACTTTCACTGACGATTATAGCAGATATGGATATATCTACTTGATCAAGCATAAGTCAGAAACTTTGAAAAGTTCAAAGAGTTTAAGCATGAAGTCGAAAATCAATTGGGCAGAAAGATAAAGATACTTAGATCCGATAGAGGCGGGGAGTATCTTAGTATCGAGTTTAACGACTATCTGAAAGAATGTGGGATAGTCTCACAATTGACTCCTCCTAGGACACCACAGTTAAATGGTGTAGCTGAGAGGCGCAATCGAACCTTGTTAGACATGGTTCGTTCTATGATGAGTCGGGCTTCGCTTCCTATTCACTTCTGGGGGTATGCCTTAGAGACAGCCGCCCACATCCTCAATCTTGTCCCTACAAAGAAGGTTGCCAAAACACCTCACGAAATGTGGACAGGGAAAGTTCCCTCGTTAGCACATATTAAAGTCTGGGGTTGTGAAGCTTTCGTAAGACGAGAGACTCACGACAAGCTAGCAGCTAGAAGTGAGAAATGTGTTTTCATTGGTTACCCAAAGCAGTCTTTTGGATATTTGTTCTACAGGCCTAGTGAAAACGTGGTCTTTGTAGCACGAAGAGGAGTCTTTCTTGAAAGAGAGCTCATATTCAAAGAGGACAGTGGGAGCACTATTGACCTTGAAGAAATTCAAGAGTCAGCCAATGAAGGAACCTTAGATGACACTAGCACTCAACCAGAGGAAACAGTTCCTGTTGAACCAATTGATAACTCATTACCTCTTAGAAGATCCACTAGGGTGAGTGTGCCACCTGAGTTGTATGGTTTTCATATTACTTCAGATGGTGACACATTCATAAGTGACAGAACACTGGTAAACTTAGATGAACCAGTCACTTATAAGGAAGCAATGGCAGGCCCAGAGGCTTCCAAGTGGAAAGAGGCAATGGACAGCGAGATTAAGTCCATGTATGACAACCAAGTTTGGAATTTGGTTGATAGTGCACCAGGTCGTAAGACAGTTGGGTGCAAATGGATCTTCAAGAAGAAGACAGACATGGATGGAAATGTGCACACATTCAAGGCTCGACTGGTTGCAAAAGGTTTCACTCAAAACCCCAGGGGTTGACTATGATGAGACCTTCTCGCCAGTGGCTAAGATTAAATCTATTAGGATATTGCTCGCCATAGCTGCCTTTCATGATTATGAAATCTGGCAGATGGATGTCAAAACTGCTTTCCTTAATGGGAAGTTGGCTGAAGATGTTTACATGAGTCAGCCAGAGGGTTTTGTTGATGCAAAGTTCCCCAATAGAGTGTGCAAGCTTGAGAAATCCATTTATGGATTGAAACAAGCATCTCGCAGTTGGAATCTTTGCTTCCATGAGAAAGTCAAAGAGTTTGGTTTCTCTAGAAGTGAAGATGAGTTTTTGTGTGTATATCAAGGCTAGTGGGAGTATAGTAACTTTTCTGGTGTGTATGTCGATGACATATTACTCATTGGTAACGACGTTCCAACCTTGAAAGAAGTTAAGTCTTGGCTTGGAAAGTGTTTTGCCATGAAAGACCTTGGAGAAGCTGCCTATATTCTTGGGATTAGAATATTGAGAGATAGAAAGAAGAGACTAATTGGACTTAGTCAGAGCACATACTTGGATAAGGTACTAAAGAGGTTTAGTATGGAAAATTCCAAGAAGGGAGAGCTACCTATCCAGAGCAATACCAAATTGAGTAAGACTCAATGCCCGAGTACAGATGTTGAAATAGATGACATGAGTCGTGTACCTTATGCTTCCGCTGTCGGATCGATCATGTACGCTATGACATGTACTCGCCCTGATGTGGCATTTGCTTTGAGCATGGTCAGTCGCTATCAGGGAACCCCAGGTAGAGCTCATTGGATAGCAGTTAAGAATATACTCAAGTATTTGCGAAGGACAAAGGACTGGGTCCTTGTGCTTGGTGGCAGTGATACTTTGAGAGTAGATGGTTACAGTGATGCCAGCTTTCAGACGGATAGAGATAACTTCCGTTCTCAGTCGGGCTGGGTATTTTTACTGAATGGAGGAGCAGTTACTTGGAAGAGTTCCAAGCAAAATACGGTGGCTGATTCTACTTGTGAATCAGAGTACATTGCAGCAAGTGAAGCGTCGAAAGAAGCAGCTTGGTTGAGGAACTTCATCGGGGATCTCGGAGTTGTTCCAACCATCCAGGAGCCTATGGAACTGTTCTGCGATAATGAAGGAGCGGTTGCCTTGACAAAGGAACCGAGAGATCATGGTAAGACCAGACATATCGACAGAAAGTACCATTTCATCAGACATAGAGTTGAAGAAGGCCATCTTATAGTAAAGAGGGTGTCATCTGAAGATAACCCAGCAGATCCCCTCACAAAGGGTCTGAGTAGGGCTAAGCATATTCAGCATGCTCGGAGCATAGGACTGAAAGATGATATTAGTTTTAGTAGTTAGATTAGTTTTTGAAACTTGTAACAAAGTAAATGTAATTGACTTTTGGTGATTAAATAATAAAGTATTATTTATAAGTTTGGCTACTACCTTTTGTCAATTGTTTATTATTGTGTTTCATTTTTGCATGTTTTACTTCCTGAATAATGAGATTATTCAAACTCCACAGTCGCTCGTACTCTTGGAAGTAAGTAGTGAATTAAGACTGTCATGAATTGGATTGCAGATTGTCTAAGGATAGACATGGCAATAGAATTGCTGCAATGTTCATGAGTACTCAGAAATTGAGATTTGAGTATTGGATAAACCCACGCTCAGAGTATTACTTCATGGAATTCATCACGAGTAATACTGAGACGATAATATCTTATAATCTTGAAACGAAGATATATGAGTTGTAATTTACAAGTCGGTTGTGCATTGGTGATACGAAAACGCATCAGTAACTTGGTGTTATAAAACGTATTGTCATGCATAATTTGATGAGTAAAAGATACAAGCATATGAGTCAACGTTTAATGTTTTTTCGTTCCTTTTGCCCTAACAGGAAAAGCGATATCTGTGGGCCCCTCGATGATTTGGTGTTGACTTATGTGCTGGGCCCAGCCAGGACTAAATTGATGTGTTCGATTAGAAGTCCTACATCATCACAAATCAGGAATCGGGAAACATAGATTCTGGACAAAGAGATTGATTACATTCCATGTCTTTTGTCTGGGATATCAAGCAGAACGAAGGGTTATATGATCACTTATCTTAGGACACATAACGTAACTGACTGGGTCAGAGTTCGGCAGCAGCTTTTTGGAAGCTACAATTTGCTGGTCAAATTTAGAAGGCATACTAGCAATTATAGTTACAGACTTATCCAAGTGGGAGACTGTTGGATTAGGTGTCTAAGCCCATAACTATAATTGGTATGTACTTGAATTGATAGCAGCACAGTCCTTTGGGTTGCCCTCAACCTAGCAACTGGACAAGGAAATTATGAAAGGAGAGATATTAATTTATAAGATTAATAAATTAATATATATATATAAATGATTTATTAATATGTTAATGGATTAATATATTAATTAGAAATCATTATGTTTAATTAATTGTTAGCCAGAAATTAATCAGAATTGATTTTGGGGTTAAAAGAATTAATTATAAGTGCAGGGACTAGTTTGCAATATCTAATAGTTGAGTGGAAGGCTCTAGAACCCCCTTGGAAGAGGGTGGACGAAAATCTTTAGGGGAAACCCTAATAATTTCGTCCATAGGGGCTTGGATAAGGCCCTTGGGTTTGCTTAGGCCCTAAGCAAAGGATAACTAGGGTTTCCCTTAAACCCTAGATCCCTCAGCTATATAAGGAGCCTCCTGGTTCATGTTTTTGGTCACTCTTTCTTTTGAAGAAACCCTAAGGCCGAGATTTTGCATACTCCCTCTCCCCTCTCTCTTTTACTTTCCTTCTTGCTAGTTTGGGTGTGATTCCATTAGAGGCATTACACTTGTGGTGCTAAAGCTTCCAAGAAGATCAAGATCAAGATCAAGGGAATATCAATTGTTTACTATAACAATTGAAAGGTATGTAAACCCTAAACCCTAGTTTGATAATTTCGAAATTAGCCTCTCTCCTCTAGGGTTCTTGTTTTGCAATTCAAAGTTGTATGTTCAATAGTTAAAACATAGATCCAAAGTAGGTTGCATGTGAACTTAGGAATTGTTTTCTAGTTTATTTGTTGTACCTAAAACCCATCAGGAACCGGTCGGGCCGGACCAGGACGTTATTTTTGTGGATTTTTGGAACCGGGAACTGGTAGGAACCGGAACCGATATAACCGGAACCGGTAGAACCGGAAAAAACCAGGACCGTATGATGCTATTTTTTGAGGACCGGTTCCAACATTTGAAGACACGACAAGAACCGGTAGGAACCGGGAACCTGTAGAACCGTCGGGCCGGTTTGGTTCTTGATTTTTGGCCGAAGCCGGTTCCCGGGTCGGGTCCGGTTCCGGCCGGTTCCGGCCGGTTTGGTCCTTTTGCTCATCCCTAGACTGCAGTTGAGTGCTGGATGGAATTCTCCCTCGCAAGCTATTATATAACACGTCTAGATGATTTAAAAAATTCATACTAGACATGCTTAATGGCATCTCTCCAGACAAGTTGTTTCTAGATAAATCCAAGAACAAATTACATGAATGGTCCTTAAGGTTTTGTTTTTTTCCCTAAAGTAGTCCCTACGAAATTTTTTTCCCTTAGATGGTACCTACGGAGCAAACATTGCACACAAAAGGCCCCTATGACTAACTACAAATTCTGTTAAGTTTTTTTAAATGACAAAAATACCATTTGTTTTATGCACACATATGGTCCTCTCTCTCTCTCTCCTCTCTCTCTCTCTCTCTCTCTCTCTCTCTCTCTCTCAAGGACCATTCGTGTAATTTGTTCTCAATAAAAAAAATACTCACCCCACCTCTCTCTCTTTCTCTCATCAAGAAATCAACTGATTAATTCTCAATTCTAATCTCAAAAGAAACAAAATCATGAGCAGGGTTGTGATTTCTTCTCCAGGAGATCTTGATTGTGGTGGTTTAGTGAGCCATCAGTTGGATGTCCCTGACGCAACTGGGAAGGTAATCTTCCCTTCTTCTCGTTCTCATCATGGAAATGAAGAATCGGAAGGCAACATTACACTGGATATACTGGAGACAGCCAAGGAACTAATTATGTACATGGACGTACCTGGTTTATCCAAATCCAACATCCAGATAATGATTAGTTGATGTAATTTGAAGAAAATTAGGGATTTAGAGAGATCGACCGAAGTTGTGTGATTGTTTGTTGTATGTGACAGCGGAGGATGAAAAATTACTGGAGGTGAGAAGCAATGGGAAGAGGAAGCATGAGGAAAATGAGGAGGAAGGTTGCAAGTACCTGAGATTGGAAAGGAGACCTCCTCAGAAGCTGATCACAGTTGCAATCACAGTTGCAGGTGACGTTTGGAAAAGAAAATTCAAGAAATCACAGTTGCAGGTGGCGTTCGGAGGTTAGGAACACGATTGGAAACATGCGGCCAACAATGGAGGCTTGGTGGTGGTTACACAGTCGTGAGGAGGGAGATCCAATCTACAACGACCCTATGGGGGTTTAATATGCGTCGTCGCCGGTTGAGAACCAAGGGAACAAGTCTCCGTCTTCATCTGATCGGGGAGCAAAATAGAGAAATAGGGGAGGTCCGAGGCTGCTTAACCCCATGGAAGGGAACGAGCAGTAACGGTAGCGAAGGAAGGGAGGTTCGTGGGTTTCTTTAACAACTGGATGAGAGATTAGAAGCGGCGGTGGCAGCTCCTGGTTCGCCGGCAGCTTCTTTGACAAAAGGAGCCCTCGACAGGACTGCTAAGTGACGGAAAGAACAACAACAATCAGCTCTGATTAGGGGGTGTTTGTGGCTATTGGGTATCGACAGGAAGGAAGAAAAAGACGGGCTATTGCCCTATTCTGGTGGCCAGAAAACGTACCTCCGGTAGCTGGTTCTTCCACCTTGTGAGAGAGATATAGGTAGAATGGTCAGAGAGAGAGAGAGTGTCTCACTTTTATTTTTAATTTCAAATTAACAAAATATTAAAAACAAAATAAATAAATAAAAACAAAGGGTATTTTCGTCTTTTCACATACACTTAACAGAGTATGTTAACAAATTTAGTCATAAGGGCCTTTTGTGTGCAAGGTTTGCTCCGTAGGTACCATCTGAGGGAAAAAAATTTCGTAGGGACTACTTTAGGAAAAAAAAACAAAACCTTAAGGACCATTCATGTAATTTGTCCTAAATCCAATGTTTCAAGTTGTTTCATTTGACCAATTTAATCCGGAATCTCTCCAAGCAGACCATTCTTTGACAAGTTGAGTGCACGCAGTCCATAGAGATTGGTAAGTTCATTTGGGATTTGTTCTGTTAAGTTGTTGCTTGACAAGTCATTGCTCTTTAACAATCCCAGATTACTAATGAATTCACGTTCATCTCCTTTCCACTCGATCGTTGCATGGTCAACATAGTCATTATAAAGTTTAGCGTACAAAACACCCGAGGAAAACCATTCAAATGAAGAGGAATGTACATTATGTGTTGGTAATGATGCTGCTTGAACCATGTCTGTAAGATTATCCAAACACGAGGGGATGGTTCCATGTAGATTGTTCATTGACAAATCGAGAATTTGAAGATTAGCTAACTGACATAACTTTAAAGGGATGGTTCCAATGAATTTGTTTGATTTTAGGATAAGAACATACAACCTTGATAAGTTTTCCCCAATCCAAACAGGTACGTTACCAGAAAACTTGTTGGCCCCCAAATTCAAAAAACTTAAACTCTTGCAATTCTTTAAAGACAAAGGCAATTCTCCAGAAAAGTTGTTCTCGTATAGATACAGTGCCTCGAGTTTGATCAAAGATCCAACAGAGGTAGGAAGCCTTCCAGATAGATTGTTGTCTTCTAGATTAAGAACAATTAGTTCTTTGAAACACCATAAACAGTCTGGAAGTTGTCCGCTTAGAAAATTATGGGAGAGGTAAGGAACAACTAAAAACCCAGGGACAATTTGGCATAAGAAGGAGAGTCCACCATAGAATTTGTTTCTAGAAAGATCTAGTAATGCCACAGTGGAAGAGATATTTTGTTATTGGACCATAAAATTTGTTGGAACTCAAATCTATCCAAGAAGTGCTGCCAATATTTGATGATAAATCTGATGCTTTCCCCGCTGATGTTGTTGGAAGAGAGATTCAGATATCTTAATTGAGAAGGCCACATGTCCCAAAACCCCGGAGGAATTGTGTCTGAAATTCCATTATTGCCAATATCAAGATACGAAAGATTTTTCAGAGTTTGAATCCATCTTGGGAAGTAAGGCCCTAGATTGCAAGAGGTCATATCAAGAGTGGCAAGATTTTTCAATGTTAGGGTCTCATTGGAGCGTGTCCCTATAAATCGGTTATGACGAACAAACAACGCTTGTAATGTAAGCGATGTGCATCCAGAGAAGTTGTTAAGAAAATCAGGAAATTTGACAACAGAGTTGTTATCGAACAACAAAATTTCCAAACTACAGAGGCTAGCAAGATATTTGGGTATCCCATCTAACAAATTTCCAGAGAGCTCAAGAATGCGAAGCTTATTGCTGGTTAATGGGAACAACCAACCATACATGGATGAGTTGAGATTGTTGTTTCCAAGAAAAAGGTATTCAATTAATGAAGAAGAGTTGAGAAATGAAGAAGAATATGGATACATGACCTGTGAGAGCTCACATCCCCCTAAGCTTAAAAAAGATAGTTTCCGGATATTCAAAATCACATCCACCCAATAATTTTGTTTGGCTAGAGAAATCCCATGCATATCAAGTGCCTCCAAATGAGAAAGATGAGATAACCACTCTAGGTTCCCAACTCTACACGTTCCAAGGGATCCAAGATTAAGCACTTGCAAGTTTGTGAGGTTTCCAAACTCTAGAGGGATGATTCCATAAACAGAGTTATCAGAAAGGTCAAGGTGCCTTAATTCTGTCAAGGAACTAATGGACCTGAGAATGGTTCCATTCAAATGCTTTGAACCAAGGTGAAGGTACCTTAAACGAATCATGGAACCAATGAAGGTGGGAATGGTTCCATGAAAAGAATTATCGAAAAGATTAAGATGATTCAAATTGCTTAAATTAATCAAAGAATTGCTAATCTCACCTTCAAGACCATATCCGGAAACATCAAGCCCTGTGACATGATGTGTTTGGTTGTTGCACGTGACTCCACTCCAGTTATGAACTTTGAAATCAAGAAGAGCACATTGGGGTCTTGGAGGTGAGCTTTGAAATCAAGAAGAGCACATCTCTCCTTATCAGAACACTTTCTCATTATAACACCATTATCATCTCCACCTCCCAATTGGTTGGAAGTTATAGTCTCAGCGTGTAGCAAGAGAAGTGAGAAAATTATAAAAACACAAGGATTCATTATGTTAATGCATATCTTTGTGACTTTTTTATTTTATTTTTTTGGTAGTGATGCATATTCAAACTGCCCCTCCTGAGGGTTTATATAGTCTCAATTGTGAAGACGAAAAATTCAAATGAACAACCACAAACTGGTGACATATTTGTGTGGGGCCTACGATATGTAATTTCTATGAAATTTTAATGAAAATGTAAGACAAAATAAATATGAATTGAAACAGAGATTGCCCCAAATTAGACTTTTAAAGACTTACAAGACTTGGAAATTTGTATTTATGAATTGTATATTTTCCCATCCTGTGGTAGTTTTTGATCCTCTAGTTATATGAAATGAGTCCCTAAAAACGAACTGATGGAATCAAATATAGTAGATATAAGTGAGAACAGTGATATGATATCATTTGGGTCCAAGAATTTAATGACCATGAAAAGAACTTATCTCGCTTAAATTAATTAAATCCTAAACTTGTTAGAAACAAGTCAAGTTGGTCAATTTCAGCTTTGATCCATGGTCTCCAACATTGTTAAAAATAACATTTTTTTGAAAAAGTGCCTAACTAGTAGTGACTCTTTAAAACAAGAGGGTAATAAACTTGCAATTTATATATTTTGAAAAAAATTTGAATGAATTCTTTTTATTAATCAGTCTTATACTAAAATGTTTAACGTCTTTATTAACAACAAAATTAAAGAATGGACGACCACAGTTTCTAGACCTCCCTAGCATTGGTGCTATGTTAAACAAATTAATTTTTTCTTTTCATACACAAAACAATAAAAAATATATAAATGAATGAACAGTTCAGAAACATGCAACCATAATGTAATGTACTTCGCATAAAAGAATGAAGTGTTAGACTAATAATGTAAAAAGAACAAAATTTTGATTCTAACAATGTAATGATAACAACAAGACTTTTAATGAATTGTGTAGCTGGTGGTCCTGCCAGAGTGAAAAGAAATGCGACAGACAGATTAACCGGATCTGATCTCAATATTGGATCTCATCTTAAAATCTAAGAGTAACATCAAGAAAAACAGCTAGATTAGATTCATTCTAATATAGCTAATTACTTTACATGATCATGAGATCTATAAAACTGTGAGCCTCACATAGCATCAATTAACCAATTAGCATAAGTTATTCTTCATATATTTCCGAAGGCGGGGTCTAATTCTACGAAGAAAAAAAAAAAAAAAAAAACAAAAAAATTGAAAAAGATAGTAGCGGATTTTCAACGAGAGACTTGCTACCAATATTATCAACAGTACGCTTGAATTTGGGGCTTCATTCCCCTTTGACTGCTTCTGCTTCTGTTTCACAGTCTCCGGCGCCTCTGTACTGCAGTCGGAGTTCAACGATTTTCGTGTCAGATCCGCCCGGCCAACAAACTGTATAACCTGCGCTGTTTAAGCAAGCGTCCTGGCCCATGGAAAGCAAGCCGTACATATACTAGTATAAAACACTTATTCATGGAACAAAATCTGTGTATATCTATTTTCTATTTTCATTTTGATTAAAAAATATTTTTATCCATTCAAACGAATTAATTAATTAATTGCTAAGATGTCCATCCGTTTTTTTTTTGGTATTGCTTTAGATTTTATTTAAATACTAGTTTATCATCCGTGTGAACCACGGTTATAAAATTAATTAAACTTTCATAATAAAAATTTATAATTATTATTCAATTATTTTAAATAAATTATTAATTAGGAGATATATCAAATTTTTATAGTTGTTATAAATTCAAATTTAACATATGATTAGAAAATGTAAATTTAAATTTTGAAATGAGTTGCCTAATATATCTACATGATACATGACATAATATTAATGAGGAGTTATATTAGAATGACACTTGGTAATGGAGATTAAAGCTATTCATTTATTAGAATAGGGATTAAGGGTTTGTTTTTTGATTATCTGATTTAGTGGTTTATATGTCTACAACATTTCTTAAAGTAACCTTTTTTTATTGTTTCTATAATTGAGTAAATACCAAACGTTTAGGATTTTCTGTATAGAAGTTACTGTACAAATTCATACTTCGACAATTTTTAGTCTATTAATTTTCTTAATTTTATTCGTTGAACGAAAGTTTTGTCATAAAAGCTTTTATGTTTTGTAGATATGGACGAGATATGGACGGTTTTACCTTAAATTGAAATTTATGTTCAATGTCTTAATTTTGCACACTTTTTTTTTCCATTTTTGAGCTTTTGGAAGGTAAAGTACAGGCAGGCGTGCCACATCAACGACTTGGCATTTTCGAGTGAATGGACGCCGATAAAACTATTTTAAATAATAAATACACATCGTTACTTATTAATATGTACAAATACATAAATATGTATTTTAAACAATATAAACCATATGAATAAATGTGAGCCAATCATTTTACTTATTTTAAGAAAATGTGATTAATACATATTATTAAATTAAATATAATTGATAAATACCATCAAATTTAACTAGAATGGTATTTTAGTCAATTAATATAGATTTAATAAAGTAAATTTGCATATTTTAAGGGATCATAGATTCTATTAATTTTAAAAATCCGATTTTACGAATTATAATGTTTTTAATTCGGACATTCTAACAGAATATGTTTGAGTATGTTCAAAAATAAAAATATTGTAGAACAATAAAATAATAAAAATATTATTGAACATATTTCTTGATCATGACTTTAAAAATTTCTTGTAGAATAACAAATTTTCGAACCAGCAATTGAACAATTAAAACAAAAAATTACATTATTTCTTATAGAATACATGTAACAATTGCTAGGAATTACATTTATTATTAAAGAATAAAACTAAAAACTTTCAAATCGGGAAAAAAACATCAAAATCTAACAAAGACACTAATACATTCTAAAAGAATAATGTTGCTAAGAGGCGTCGTTCAAATTTCGTGGTCCGTTCTTCAAGCATCAGCTTCTGTGGAAACAAATCCAATGAATAAATTAGTGAGAAAATATCTATATTCCATTCCAACATAATTGGAATTCTGATAGAATTGGAATTCCATTCTAATAGAATTGGAATTCATTTATCAATAATTATATTAATTCGGGGCATTCTAACAGAATATGTTCATGATTATCATAAAAAACATTCTTTTCTGATAGAATACTATAAACGAAGAAATACGATTCAGTTGAACCATTTTAGCGAGCGCTTGGTGTGCATCAAAACAACTTTCAATTTCCTGTAAAAATTAAACAATCAGAACAAATTCCCAATTCACCAAAAATATTTCACCTTGAAAGAATTAGACAATAAACCTAAACACATCCAAAATTTCTTTGATTTCTGTCAAACAATCAACCCAAACATCCATTCTTTATATTGAAATCAAATCAAATTATAAAACCCATTTGAAGATTAAACTTCATTGGTTTACAGTAAATCAGTCAAAGTAAGAAGAAGAAGAAAGAAACTTGTACCCATCGACCTCCTTGTCTCTCGTTCTCACCTCACCAGAAAAAAAGGAAGAAGTGGCAGAGCTGCCTACTGCCGCCGCTGATTTTGCTTGTCCCTGCCTAATCGATTTTGTTGTAATGGAATACACAGTGGTGTATGGCAACGATCAATAAGAGAGTCACCGGAGAAGGGTGACTGCCCCTCTCTTTCTCGTCTTTTCTTTTTTCTGTCAAACACAACAATCGAACGCCCCTGGATCGATGTTGTCATGATGCTTCTTCCCTCCGCACCTCCTCGTGATTTCCCAACTATCACAGAAGCTCCGTCGACATGCCCTGTTCCTTCGTTTCCCTTACCATCAGCGTCTTCGACTGATTAGAGGGGTGGGGCACCGATCGATAACTGCTTCCTTCAAACCAACTGCCGCCTTTTCATCCCGTCGATTGAACCACCCACCTCTCTTCCCTTCACACACTATGCCGAAATTGGGAGAGAAGCAACCGAGAGCTGCTTGATTGTTAAAGGTCGATGTTTCTGTTTAGGGTTTTAAAGCTGTAATGTAAACGATTTTGCCTAAATTAAAGGGTTTATGATTTGAATAATTAATTACCAAAAATAATTAAAAGCTAGGATTACAAATTTACCCCTATCTAGGTTTTTAAAATGATTGGTCCACATTTACGCCTACAATAACTTAATAATTACTTTAAACACCTGAACCTAAGATTACAATTTTACCCCTATCTAGGTTTTTAATATGATTGGTCCACATTTATGCCTACAATAACTCAATAATTACTTTAAACACCTGAACCTATCTCTCTCTCTCTCTCTCTCTCTCTCTATATATATATATATATATATATATATAGGGCTAGGTTAATATGTTTCTTATATTTATTGTGTGCTAGAATGCACTAATAGGAATTTAGTAAAATTAAATAATTCTTTAATTAAATAAGGATATATATTAAATGATTTCCATAATTGTATGTATATTAAATGATATTCATAATTATAATTCTCTTTTTATGGAAACTAATTAAATTTGTTATTAATGTCAGCAATAACATTCTTTCAAAATGAATTCATACCTAGGTTTTTATGTATGGGTTCGTTGTTTGTTTCAGTACTCACTCACTTAAAATACAATAAAGTTGCATGGAATATGAAGAACAATAGTGCATTCTACTAGAAT